CACGGATATTCCAGCTCTTTCCAGCCACTTCTGCTAGAGCTGTGAACTCAGCCAGCACATGACCGGCCTTCCAAAGCGTAATAAAAATGGTTTTATCAGCTGTTTTTCCAAGGTATAACTACAGTCTCCAACTTTCCAGCCTGCAATGTCTGCACGCTTCCCACCTGCAGCAAAACCACTAAGTCAATGCCTCATATTGTAGGGGTTTTGCTAAGACAGCAAATAATAAACTGCCAGTATTATTCTTTGTTTATTTAGGGTCAGGGAAGGCTGCTATAAGAATGAGAGCCCATAATGATTTGGTGGCTCAACGAAGAGGGAAATGTGTTTCTTTCACATGTAATAGTCTATGAGGACCATTCCAGATTGGCAGGCTGTTGGGTTCCACAAAGTCATCCAGGAGCCTGGGGGGCCTTCCGTCCTGTTGCCCTGCCATCCTCTAGGCCATTGGCCTTGGCAGCTTGATCACCGCTGGGTTGGAGGTGCATCCAGGTTCCCACTTGTGGGAAGGGGAAAGAGAGCATGGGGGTGGTGGGAGGGTACACCTTAAGGCCTAGGACTGGGAGAATCACGCTTCCCTTGCCAGTATATGCCATTGGCAAAAAGCTTAATCACATTGAGAGACCTACGTGCAGGAGCATCTGGGACCTAGAGTCTGGCTGTTTGCCCTGGAGGAAGGGGAAAATGAGTGTTGGTGGGCAATTAGCAGTCTCTGCCCTGCGCCTGGGAGCTGAATGGGCAGGTGGTCCTCCTGAGTCATATGGCCTTGAACATAAGTTGAGAGGACGTTTGTCTCTGTGGGAGGCCCTGGTCCTCTCGCCCCACACACGTGCTTATTGCCCATCCAGAATGCGGGGCTGGCTGACCACGATGACACACGTTTGCTTGGCCAACTTTGAGGGATCTAAAATGTACTCTACAGTACTCTCTGAAATGATGCCCAGCCTCCTCCCCTGTGCCGGTGGGTGCCCGTGAGAGACGCATGGCGGCCTCAGGAACCTGCTGGGGGATGGAAGGGTGTGCTAGCCTGGAGTCTCCAAGAAGCAGACGCCAAGAGAGGATTAAGTGTGCAAGGATGTCATTAGGAGACGTGCGTGTGGGAAATGAACTAGAAGGAGCCAGTGAAGGCCTGGGGGGACTCAGCAGGGCGGGTCTCGATGCAAGAGTGACCCCGAGAGAAGGAGATAGGGAGAGGTGACCGTGGCAGTCTAAGAAAGCTTCAGCAGACCCACTGGGAAATTCTCGAGCCAAAGTCGACCAAGAAAAATAATCGGCGTCTCCTGGGACTGGTTCCGTCCTCATGTCCTCAGCTGTGCACACGGTCATTGGTGGCGAGCAGCTCGTGGGCGCATGGGATGGATGTCAAAGCCGGGGCTGCTCTGCTAAGTATCTCCCCTGTCCCAAGAGGTCTGCAAGGCCCATTCTCACGGCTGCCACGGGAGGTTACGGTAAGAACTGGGGTTCGTTCATACTCTAGACAGAGGATTTGAGAAGTCTGAAATTAAAAAAAAAAAAAAATTAGACTGGGTTGCCACCCTGCTCACCACAGACAAGCTGGGCGGCACTGGGCGAGAAACTGAATCCCGCTGATCCTTATTGGTTTCCTCATCTGTAAAATGCCTGGGAAATGTAATCAGGATGAAAGTCAAGTTCCCACAGGAGGTGCTCACTAAATGGTGCCCTTTATCCCCTCCCCATTTTGCCAGAGCTCAGTGGGTCTAGGGCCTACTCCACACGTGCTCCCTGAGGAAGGAACCCCAAGTCCACGGCTGATCCCAGTTCCCTGGGACAGCAGCTAACCCCTCCCTCTCAGCGCCACAGCGAGTGGGCCCAGAATCAGCACGGAGTGGGCTGCAGAGGCTAAGCTGGCTTGTAAACCAGTCTGAGAAGCACCCTGATCAATCTCTCTCCCAGGACCAAAGAGAAACATTTACCCCAGGCCAGGCCTGGGACGGCCACTTGTTACCTCTGGGCTCCAGCTTGTTTGAAAACTCATCACCCAGGCTAGGACTGTGGGCTCAGGCCCAGGTGGGGAAGGGTAGGAAGGAGGCGTCTCCTTGGACAAGCCTGTAAATCCCAGCGGCAGACGGCAGACGGCTGGGCAGGCTTCCACCCACCCCAGGCACCCGCCGGCTCTACAGCTCCCGAGAGGCGTGGTCTCTGGTTTCTCTCCCCCAGTGCCTGTTCTCCAGAGCCCTTTCTCAGCCGCCTGCCCTCCTTCCTACTCTCTGTGGGCCCCTCCCCCCACCCGCCTTTCTTCTCTCTCTCCAGTGGTGGCCCTGATTCTTCATCTCTTGACACCTCCCGGGGCTCCTGGCGTCTGAGTGTGTAGCTGTCTGTACTTCACCATCTCTGGGGGTCTCCGGAGTCTCCCTGTCTCCCTCAGGGGCCTCATTCCTCTCTGCCTTGCTGGTTCTCATGCTCTCTTGCTCCCTCAGAACCATCTCTCTCCCTCTGGTTCCTCCTCTTCCACCATTTGACCTCCCAGCCCAGCCGCCTCCTTGGAGCTGTGTGCTGCCTTGGACCATCTTCAAGCCACAAGGAGCAGCCCAGCCCCAAAAGTTCCACAGGGACCTTGGAGGAGCACCCCGATGCCCCATCTGCCCTCCTTCTTCCTCTGTGCACGGCAGACCTGTTCAGAACCAGAGGGCCACAGCACCCCAGACCCAGCCTGCTCCCTCTAACCATACAGCCCCCCAACCTCCTCCCCCTCCCCCAACCGCTCTTGGGGTCACTGCCTCTTCTAAACTTCTTTCTGTATCCAACCCTTAGAGCTCATGGCTAGTTACGGGTGATACTAAGAAACTGGGACAAATACGACATCATTTTTATACCAAAGAGAGGGAAATTGGCTTAATTAGATGTGCAGTATCTATTCAACAGAATTTTATAAAAACCATGATGTAGAGCCATACATACGGGCGTTAAATACAAATCCAGGTAGCCAAAAGCAGATTAAAAATAGTATTTGGAACATAAACCCATTTTATAAAAGAAAAGAAATATGCATAACATCATAATTCACTTCAGGGTGGTGGGAGTATGGGTAACTTGTTTTTTCTTGTGATGAACAAATAAAGCCAACCAGGACATAGGCCAGATAGGCACTGATCTTCACTGCCCCTTTACTGATTTTAACCCAACAAACATTTCTGAAGCTCCAACTGGCTGCTCAGCCCTCCCAGCAGCTAAACAGGAACAGGAGCAATCAGATACGCAACAGGTCCTACGACAACCCCTGGAGACTGGCCAGGGTGACCCAAGGAGGCCCTTCAGGTAGGTCTTCAGCTGGGGTTGGTGCTGAAGGTGAATAGAAGAGGCTCTCGGGGGCAAAGGGTACTGGCAGGGGAGCGGTGCCCCGAGGGGAGCTGGGTACCTAGGATCTCAATGTGAAGGGTGTGAACCCCGCCCCCCCAGGAAGGCTTGGGGCACCCACCAATTAAACAGCAGAAACAGGACCCACTGCTCAAGACCTGCAACAAGACAGGGGAGGAGGGTGAGGGACTAGAATGGGGGGGGGGTGTCTCAAACCAGCCTAGCCATGCAGCAGCAGAGACTGGAATCAAAGCCTGAACTCACTGCTGCCTCGCCAGGCTGTGGCCCTCGAAGTTAAGGGCCTTCTGGCAGGAACCCCCACCACAATGAAACTGTGGCCGTGGACTGCGGCGGCCAGTGTGTTCCCATGGGCTAGGCAGCGCCAAAGACCCCAGCCCCCAAGGCCCTGGGCCCGGCCTCCTCCGTCGGAGCCAGATGGGAGGACATTCTTTCAGGCCCTGTGCGTTCTATTTTTGTTTCTTTGTTTCACTTCCTCGGCTCTCTCGTTTTTCTGCAGTCTAGCGCTACCGAGTCCGCGCTAGGAGAGGTGCGGACTCAAGAGGCAGTTCAGTTGCCCTGCGGGGCCGAGCTGAGCGCAGCACCAGCCCCCACCACCAGAGGGCACCCGAGCACAGAAACTGGCAATCTCGGGAGAGAGCGGTAGCGAAAGCACCCAAGCTCTCCGCGGATCTCTGAACTACTCAGCCTAGGGCCTGGCCACGGTGGGTCAGCTCTGGAGTAATCCTGGAGAGCTTGGCTGGGTGGGGGCCCCAAGTGCGGGGACCTGCCCTCCTCGACCGAACGCTGATTACACAGATCGCCACCTATTGCCAGGTGATAGTGTTACACTGCCAACCCAGAGGGTTTAGGGTGTAGGCAAGAGAGCGGGCCAGCTAGCTGCCGGAGAGCACCGGAAAGGGACCCGTGTGATGGAAGGAGCACTGGACGCGGAGTCACGACAGCTGACTGCGCTGCCGCTACGTTCCGTGTGACCTCTCCCTCTCCCGTTTGTCTTCTCATCTGTAAACAGAGGGGGTGGGAAGACTTGGTGGTATCCAAGCGCCCTTCAGGCTCCGACCAAAGACATGCCCCACCCTCCCTGAAGAGGCCTGAAGAGGGCCACGGAAGCTGGAGAAAGGGGACCGAAGAACCGAAACGGCCGCTGTCTGCTTGGGGCGCCCAGCACGGCGCTGAGTCAGCACGGAGACCCGCAGCACTCTGTCGGGTCCCACCACCCAAGTATCCCCGCCCAGGTCTCCCGCTGCTGGCCCGGGCAGCGCCCCACCCGCCGCCTGAAAGGGGCGCCGAGTGAGTGGGATCTTCTACGGTGAGTGCGGGACGATGACCCGGCCTCCCTGAGAGGTCAGCCGCGCCAAGGAAAGTTCTCTCCGTCCTCACGGCGCCGACCTTCGCCTCGCGGGCGGCTTCGCTCCATCCCGGACGCTGGCGATGGGGAACAGAGTAGGGAGGCAGGAGCGCTCTAGGCCGGGTGTGGGTCCACTTGGGGAGGAGGGTAATGGCCCCGGGCACCGCGGGCGCGACCCCGTTCCGGTGATTGAAGCTTGTGGAGTTACCTCCACCCGGGGATCCCTGGCCCCCCATTCCTGCCACATCCTTCTCCCACCTCCCCCAGTCTCGGGAGCCTAGGCCCCGAAGGTTCAAGAAGTCAAGAGCCTGGAGAAATGCACTGTGCAAATATATTGACTTTATTTGTCTCCGTTCGGGAGCCTCACAGACATATCCAAGTAAAAAGATCGTTAAATAAACGCCGTCAGCCATCGCAATGCAAAAATAAATATCAGTCCTCCGGCCGCAGCTGCGCTGCGCCCCAAGTCCCATCAGCCGCGCCTAACAATTATAAAAGTGTTCAGCGAGAGTGTGTTGGCGTGAGTGTGAACGGGTGTGCGCTGGGGGGCACGGGGGAGCGGTGTGCAAAATCGGAGTTGCAAACCATCAGACAAGGGCGTGGAGCGGCTCTCGGGGGAGCCCCGGCGACCCAGGGCCGAATCAGCGCGGGCGCGCCTCCCGCACACACTCACGGCAGAGTCCGTACTGGGAAGAGTTAAAAAATAAACATTTACAAGGGCAAAGAAAGCGGCCCCCCTCCCCGGCACCCCCGCGCGCTCCGGCCCGGGACCAGCGCAGCGCTGGGCGCACAGAGCAGCTCGCAGCCCGGAGAGAGGTCCAGGTCCTCGCGGGTCCCCGGGGCGCGGGGTGCGGGGCCCGGACCCTCTGGGGCTTGGTTCGCGGGTCCCCGGGCGGGCGGCGCCCCTCACAGGGCCGAGTCGGAGTCGCTGGAGTCCAGGCTGTTCCTCAGCTTGCAGCTGCTGAGCTGCTCCCTCTGCAGCGACAGGCTCTGCGTGCTGCGGCGCAGGCACTCCAGGCTCTGCAGGAACGACTTCTTGGCCTTCTCCTCCTCCATGGGGGACACCCCTTCCTCCTCCACCTCCTGGATCTCGTCGAAGGTCACCGGCTGCGTCTTGAAGCGGGACTGGCGCGGCCGCCGCAGCCGGCCCTTGCCCTTGGACAGCTTGGCGGGCCGCACGGGCTGCGGGAACTCGTCGGCCAGGCACACGAAGTGCGGCATCACCGCCTGGTAACTGGAGCAGATGCCCATTAGCTCGCCGGGCTTGGCGGCCGCCATGGCGCTGCCGGCGTCTTCGGGGCCCGGCGGCGGGGCGCCGGGGCTCTCGGGGGGCGGCCGCTGCGCCGGGGCCCCCCGGGAGGCAGCAGCCTGGGGCTCGCCGGGCGGGGGATCCAAATCTGCTGCGGGGTGGCGGCGGCCCTCGCGGGCCCGGGTCGGCGTTCCTCGGGAGGTTGGGCGGGAGGGCCCGTCGGGGGACGCGGGGCTCGGCTGCTGGGCTGCGCTACCGGGAGCTCGCCGCCGCGTCTGTCGCCGTCTGCCCCGCGGCGGCCCGGCCCTCCACTTATATAGCCCGCTCCTGCCCACACGGCCGCGAGCTCGGATGACAGCGAATGCCATTTAAAGCGTGCGCGCCCCGCGCCCTTCCGCCTGACGTCGCCCCGCCGCTCTGGGAAAGTAACGGCCCTTTCCCTAGCGCCGCCCGCCCCCCCGCCCCCAGCCAACCCGGCTCCGGAAGGCAGGCCCCGCCCGCGGGGTTCCGGGAGCATCCGAGGCCCAGGGAGCACGCCGCGGGGCGGGGTGGCCGGAGAGCCGGCGGCGGGGTGGGGGTGGGCGGCTCGGATCGGCCGCACTGAGGCTGCCACTGTCCGTCCTGGGATCCCCAAGTTCGTACGGACCGTGGTGGCCGTGGCGGCGCAGGTCCCCTTCCCCCTCCCCGATCCCAAATGCACACATTCAAGACGCTGGTGATTCCGCGGCGGGTTCTGCGTTGGGCGCGGGGTGGAGGCAGCTCCCAGCCCTCCTCCGGCGGGGAGAGCCGGGGCGCCTAACTCCCCAGAACTGAGTTCGGAGAAAAGGTTGGGTTTCTTCTCTGGATCCTTGTCACCCCTCCCCAGACAAACGCGAATCCATATACACACACAAACACGCACAGAGCCATGCACGAATAAAAACGCACCCCGATTATTCCATCCCGGTTCTTCCCTTCCCTAGCCGCCTTCTCTCCGTCTCCTCACAGCCCCACCCCCAAGTCCCTCGGGCACCAGCCCCCTATTCATGCTCAGAAGAATGACACTTGGATAGGCACTAATAACAATGATAATAACTACAATCTGGAGAGCTTCACTCCAAGCCAGCCAGTGAGCTTCGTTTTACATATATTACCCGACTTAATCTTCCTAACAGCCCCGTGAGGTAATTGGTATTCTCCCAAATTTACATATGAGATAGTGGAGGCACAGAGAGGATAAGTAGCTAGTCCTCTAGGAACGGACGGAACCAGGTGGAGCGGACTGCACAGGGCGCTCTCTTATGGTCCCGGCCCGAGGGCTGGTACCCACCTGTGCCCCTAGGGCTTCTAAGAGCAGGTCCCCTGGTTTTCCTGACTCCCAAGAGGGAACTGTGAGCATGGCCCCAGACCCCAGGGCCCTCAAGAGTGGCAGGCACAGGGTGGAGCTCACCCTGCCTCCCACAGGCACCCAGCTAGGCTCACAGGGCCACGGGAATGAAGGGAATCGATGGGATTTGGCCTCCATTCCTTCCACAGCCATTCAACAGATTCATTAAGGACCGCCTGTGTCCCAGCTCTGGAGTTACATTCCAGTGGGTGGGGCGGACAATAAACATGGAAACAAGACGGTTCTTGGGTGGTGTGAGAGGGATGCAGATGGAGAAAGGTGCAGAAGGGGTGGCCAGGAAAGGCTTCTCGGCGTGGGTGATATTTAAGGTGACCCTGAGGGACAATAATAACACTGCTGCATGCTTAATATGGGCCATGCTCTGAGTACTTTTCATGCCTTAACTCCTCTCAACACCCCTGGGAAACAAGTACTTTTATTATTGTTCTTTACAGATAGAAAAACCAAGGCACAGAAAAGCTAAGCAACTTAGTCAAGGTCACACAGCTGGTACGCAGCAGAGCTGAGTTTCAGACCCAGGTGACTTCGCAACTAAGCCCTCACTCTAAACTCACCCTGAAGCCCTTTGCCCTGTGCGGTACAAAGAAGGAACCAGAGTGTGATCAAATGAGTGTTTCAGGCAAAGGGGACCCTAGGGCAAAGGCACCAAGGCAGGGAAGAGCTAGTGAGAAAAGCCATGTGGCTAAAGCCGAGTGGGAAGGGGGGATGAGGAGTGGGGACAGGCACAGAAGGCCTTGTCGCCACGTTAAGGAGACAGCATTTTATTCTGAGGGCAATGGTAAGGCACTGGGGAGTTTGGGGTAGGGGAGCGACATGCTCCAATTCCTGTTTTTTTTTTTTTTTTTAAGATTTTATTTATTTTGAAAGAGAGAGAATGAGAGAGAGCACGAGAGGGAAGAGGGTCAGAGGGAGAAGCCGACTCCCTGCCGAGCAGGGAGCCCTGTTTTTAAGAGCTCACTCTGGCTGCCATGTGAGGCGTGGACTGGAGAGGGAGGGGTGTGGAAGAAGCAGGGAGCCCACTTACAAGAGCGTGACATCACCGCCCGCCGCCCCCCCGCCCCGATACAAGACACTGAAGATGGGGACTGGGTGAAGACACTGGAGAGGGAGGGAAAAGGTCAGATTTGGGATGTGCCCGAAGAGAGAATGAGAGGACTTGCTGATGGATTAGATGGGGTGGTGGGAGGAATCAAGTCGACTTTGATGGATTTGGCCTGAGCGAGTGGTAGACGGGGACGGGAAGGTTGGAGAGGGGTAGGGCCATTGTGGAGTCTGCTGGCTAGCCATCAAAATCCTCCACCTATGGGGGCGAGGCCTGGAGTGCTCATATCGGAACTATATTATTCGAGAGAAAAGTTTATTTGTATAATCTTAAGGCCATCTTATTTGGGATTTTCTTTTAACAGCAGCTTAGCAGTACTCTAATACAGAAAGTGGTACCAGGAATGCAAAGCTGCCATGTATAAAAACCCTAAAATCTGTGGCACTGGCTTCGCCAACAGGTGGTAATACGGAAACCAGGAGTGGAGGATGGAAAGCTGGTGACCCGTGTTATGCTGTGACAAAACATTTATTAAAACCGTTACCTGTGATAATTTGGAAGACGGACCACATGCCTACTGAGCCTGTAATTCTTGAAAAATGGCTGGAAAGAGCTAAAAACAGTTGCACGTGTTGGCTGCTCAATGATGCTTTTAGCCAGATACCCCAGCAAAGAGATTGGCTAGTTTGCAAGAAGAGGCGAGAAGAAGGGGAGATAATACAGAGACCCGCTATCATCAGTGCTGGAAAGCCCAGTTGGTTTTGTCCAAGGAGCAGAAGAAGATCAGACTGTCGTGGCTTGTTGTGGCAGACCGCCTCTCCCCAGTACCCCTCTCCAAGCTTGTCTGTGAGGCCATGCTGAGGGACCACCCCTGTAGCAAAGTATTATATTAGCCCTGCTGCCTTGTCATTCAAATCTATTAGTTTAGATGTCTTTAGGATAACTTTCATTTAAAATGAGAGAGAGAGGAGTTGGGCAAGGCAAACAGACTTAATAACTCCAACAAGAAAGGAGCTCCAGGTGTGGTTGCTGGCACATGGAACTGACTAGAGGCAGACCAAGTTTTTGAAGGAATTATTATTACCAACAAAATTGCAAGGCTGGACTTCAAAAGCCCATGATCCTTCCAGCCCAAATACGTGTTCAAAGAAGACAGAATTTCAATACCCTGTAAGGTGGTAGTGGAGAGTAATAAACAAGAAGGAATTTGCCAAGGGCAAAGTCAAGGGCCAGGGAGACCCAGGGCCAGAACCTCCTCCACCACCAAAGCAGGGAAGTCCTCATGGTTCTAGAAGGGGGACTGTGGCGGAGACTGCTAGCGGTCCATCAGCTGGGTCACATTTCCCAGGTTCCCTTGCAGCTAAGACTGGGCCATGTGTCAAAAGAGTCATCTGTGCAACGGTTCGACTTCTGCCCCACTTGCGTGTGAGGAAATTCCCACCCTAAGCTTCCATGTTTTTCCCCATACCAACTGGAAGAGTGATTACCAGACAGACCCTGGATCCTTCATGTTATTCTGGATCCCTACATGACCCTGTGGGGCAGGGCTATCTACCAACCTGAACCACTTCCCTTGGAGCTATTACATGAGAAGGCAGTCAACTGAATATTTTTAAACTACTCTAATTTCAGGTCTCTATTATATCGACTCAGCATTGTCCTAACCAAGAGAGCCATTAGACATCTAAGGTCAAGCAGGACACTGGCAGAATTCAGACAAGAGGTGAGGGATGGAGTAGCACTTTGGGAATCTTCAGGGTACAGATGGGATAGTGGGTGAAAGCCCGCCTTCTAGAGAAAGAAGGGCTGCGAGCTGCTAACACTGGGGGGCCAGATGAGCCAGTCAAGGAGTCAGAGAAGCAATGTCTAACAGGGTTAAGAGGGAAACCAGGAGAACATGTCAGAATGCACGAGAAGGATGTTTCTAGAAGGAGGAAGATGATTAGAATGGCAGTCCAGAGACAGGTCCTAGCCTGGCTCTACTTGAAACTTCCTGTGGGGCCTGGGGCAAGCCACTAATCGCTCTGCACTGTGGAGGTCTCAGCTCAAATGCTGCCCCATCAGAGCAGCCTTCCCTGGCCACCCTATTCCAAGTGGTCCCTCAGTCACTCTATACGTAACTAACTAAATGGCCTTCTTACCTGTTTGTTCCCCTCAACAGTGTTGTCTGCCTTCCCCACTGGCCTACCAGCCTCCGTCTCTCCCCAGTACCTGGGCCAGCTCTGGCACACAGCAGGAGCTCCGGGTTCCTCGCGAGTGGACCGCCACCCTGCTCCTCGGCTCCCCGTGACCTCTGCTCCCATAGCTCCTGGCAACAGCATCTCCACCAGGGCTTCCTTCCCAACATGCACAGCTCCTCCAGACCCCAAGGGACTGGGGTGCCCTAGGTCGCTCCTCTCAGCTTCCCTTGACAGAAGACTCCCCATACCCGGCCCCAGGGAGGTGAAAGTAGGAAAAGAGGCCCTTGGCTCATAGCAACGGTCCCAGGTTAGCAACCAACTCGGCCCCCTTCACTTCCACTCCACTCCAAGTCTGGCCCTGCTCACAGGGGGCTTCCAGGAAGGGGAGAGGGGAGGGTAGAGAGATGGTCCTCCCTTCAAGGACGGCAATGAGCTCCCACATGACCTAGAATCCTCTGTTCGACCACTGACACAGCCCCCCCCCTCCCCCCGCCCCAGCTCTCCACCTCTCAGGCTGCCTCCAGGACCAACCCCAGCCCTTAGGTGGCCTTTTCGAACGTGCTGTGCCCTCCAGCTCCACAGGAGTCAGCCAAGGGCCACTGTTGGGTCAGGAGAACGTGGAGCTAGATCCCAACCCCTCTGCCCTGAGCTCATCCTGTGACCTTGAGCAGGTCCTACTCTCTGAGACTCCCTTTTTGTACCTCAACGCGTAAGTAATGCTGCTGGGAGTCCATGATGAGTGTACGGAAAGCAGCTAGCTGAGTG